GAGACATATAATATTTCTGTTGTGGGGCAGAAACAACAGAACAAAAAAGATACTGCGAGTTTTCCTTACAACAACTTTGATAGGTGCATCCCAGTAACAAGGCAGATGAGGAGGGAAACAAGCAGCGGAAGAACTCAGATCTGATAAGCAGGGGCGTCGGACTGGGGGGGGAAAGGGTACCGTTTACCCAGGGCCCACAGCAGGGAGGGGCCCTGAGAAAGCTTTGAATAAAAATGTTTTATTGTTTTTGTTTTTTCCCCCCAACTTACTTAATGTCTTAATAAACTTCCCTTTACCTGGATAAAGAGGTTAAGAAACAGAATTTCGCCTTAAAAATAATAACTGAATAATCTCTGAGGCATCTATCACCCCTTAAAATTGTGCAAAGTGGTTTAGTCCACACCTGCGGCCAGGGGCTGCACGGCTGCATGTACAGCTATGAGACATCGCAGATGCCGACAGCCAGAGCTGGAGGCAGGAGAGTCAGTCATGTCTTTTCCCAAGAAAGGGAAATCTGGCTTCCAGAAAAGAAAAGAAGGAGAAGGAGAAAAAGTTAATTGAACAGAAGCAAGTATTGACTAGGTTCTTCAAGAAGAAAGGTGAGCAGCAGCAGAACACAGTTTTAGCTGATATTAGCTAGCTCTCAGAAGCTGCATTCATGTTAGGTGTTCAGTGTTAAACGCCTTTAGTTTCACCATCAAGATCAAATATAAATTAATTAGTGTTATCAGTGAAAACACTAATTAATATAAATATATATATTAATCAGAATTATTATCGCGGGCGGCCGCCGCCAATTAATTCGCGGACCTCGCAGTAAAAACAGGTTCACTCTGTGTGGATATTTCAGCTCCTTCCCAGTCATGGACCAGGACAAACTTGGTACCGATGGATTCGTGGTAATCTCAGGAATGAGAAGCTGCCACTGTTTTTCGTATAGCATGATGACACTGGTGTTAGAGGATTGTTATTGACTTGGTTAGATACTTTAAGCCTATTTTAAATTTCTTTATATTTGATCTTGAAAACGGACAATCTTATAATTTGGCTGATAATGCAGGGATTATAAAATTTAGAGTCCATTACATTCACAGAGAGAACCTGGTTTATTTCATGTCATATGTATTTAATATATCAATACATATAAGCTTAACATCATGAACCATGACAGACATGACTGAAGAGCAGATGAAGATATCATGCCAGGCACTGATGAGAAAATATTACAAGGATCTCACAGCTGAATTTGAGAATGATACACCTGAGAACAATATATGGTGCCACATTTCCACACATTCGGTCTCCTCTTGAGCTGCTTAATGCCATCTACAGGATGCAATTACAGAGCATTTTTGGAGAAGTTTGTATTGGACTGAGGATATTTTGCACACTACCTGTGACTGTTGCTGGGGGTGAACAGGCTTTTAGCAAACTGAAACTGATGAAAAATTATTTGAGATCAACAATGTCCCAGGATAGACTGAACAGCCTAGCTCTTCTTTCTATTGAAAGCCAATTAGCCAAAGGATTGGACTTTAAAGATCTTGTAAGTGATTTTGCTAACATGAAGACCCGCCAGGGCATTTACTGGAAAATAAATTCCAGGATTTTTGTTTGAACACATTGTTGGCAAATAAAAATAATTATATGTGAAGTCTGGGCATTTCACTTTTATTATGCTGGCATTTGTATTTGCTCAATATAGAGATTAAACTAAGATCATATTTATTATCTTGTCTTATAGCATGACAAAAAATGTGTAAGAGAGATATTAAATAATTGAGCATGGGGGCCCACCTAGAAGACTTGTACCTAGGGCCCAGAACTTGGTGCTACGCCCCTGCTGATAAGTAAAAGTATCAGTACAGCAAAGAAAAAATATTCTCACACACAAAAAAACCTCACTTCAGGGCATGTGTGCAGAAAACACATATATATATATACACATATATATGTATGTATGTACATACATATATATGTATATATATACACATATATGTACAGTATGTACATATGTATGTATATGTATGTGTGTATGTATATATGTACATATACACTCAACAAAAATATAAACGCAACACCTTTGTTTCTGCTACGATTTTTCATGAGATTGACTTAAAGATCTAAAATTCATTCCAGATACACAATGTTACCATTTCTCTCAAACATTATTCACAAATCAGTCTAATTTGTGATAGTGAGCACCTGTGCTTTGCTGAGATAATCCATCCCACCTCACAGGTGTGCCACATCAAGATGCTGTTCTGACATCATGAGTAGTGCACAGGTGTACCGTATACTGCCCACAATAAAAGGCCACCCTGGAATGTGCAGTTTTTTGCTTTATTGGGGGGTCTGGGGACTCCGAACCGGTCAGTATCTGGTGTGACCACCATTTGCCTCATGCAGTGCAACACATCTTCTTCGCATAGAGTTTATCCGATTGTCAATTGTGGCCTGTGGTATGTTGGTCCACTCCTCTTCAATGGCTGTGCGAAGTTGTTGGATGTTATTAGGAACTGGTACATGCTGTCATATACGCCGGTCAAGCACATCCCAAACATGCTCAACGGGTGACATGTCCAGTGAGTATGCTGGCCATGCAAGAACTGGGACATTTTCAGCTTCCAAGAATTGTGTAAAAATCCTTGCAACATGGGGCCGTGCATTATCTTGCTGAAACATGAGGTGATGTTCATGGATGTGCGGCACAACAATGGGCCTCAGGATCTCATCACGGTATTTCTGTGCATTCAAAATGCCATCAATAAAATGCACCTGTGTTCTTCGTCCATAACAGATGCCTGCCCATACCATAACGCCACCACCACCACGGGCCACTCGATCCACAACATTGACATCAGCAAAGCGCTCACCCACACGACGCCACACACTGTCTGCCATCTGCCCTGAACAATGTAAACCGAGATTCATCCGTGAAGAGAACACCTCTCCAATGTGCCAGACGCCATCAAATGTGAGCATTTGCCCACTCAATTCTGTTAAGGCGACGAGCTGGAGTCAGGTCAAGACCCCGATGAGGACGACGAGCATGCAGTTGAGCTTCCCTGAGACGGTTTCTGACAGTTTGTGCAGAAATTGTTTGGTTATGCAAACCAATTGTTTCAGCAGCTGCCTGAGTGGCTGGTCTCAGATCATCTTGGAGGTGAACCTGCTGGATGTGGAGGTCCTGGGCTGGTGTGGTTACACGTCGTCTGCGGTTGTGAGGCCGGTTGGATGTACTGCCATATTCTCTGAAATGCCTTTGGAGACGGCTTATGGTGGAGAAATGAACATTCAATGCACGAGCAACAGATCTGGTTGACATTCCTGCTGTCAGCATGCCAATTACATGCTCCCTCAATGCTTGTGGCATCTGTGGCATTTTGCTGTGAGACAAAACTGAACATGCCAGGGTGGCCTTTTATTGTGGGCAGTATAAGGTACACCTGTGCACTACTCATCGGATCAGCATCTTGATGTAGCACACCTGTGAGGTGGGATGGATTATCTCAGCAAAGCAGAAGTGCTCACTATCACACATTTAGACTGATTTGTGAATAGTGTTTGAGAGAAATGGTAATATTGTGTATCTGGAATGAATTTTAGATCTTCAAGTCCCTCTCATGAAAAATCGGAGCAGAAACAAAGGTGTTGCGTTTATATTTTTGTTGATTTTACATATATATATATATATATATATATATATATATATATATATATATATATATATATATATATATACGTATATACTGTATATGTATACATATATATGTATGTGTGTGTGTGTGTATATACATACATATATATATATATATATATATAGCTATATATATGTATACATATATACATATATATGTGTGTGTGTGTATATATATATATATATATACATATATATATATATGTATGTATGTATACATATATATATATGCATATATATATGTACATATATAAGTCATAATCAAGTCATCTGTCCAACTTAAATTTAATGACGATGATAATAAACAAATTCCAGAAATAAAGCTTCTTAAAGCTTCATTTATTTGCTCAAACAAGCAGGATGTGCAACTGAAACAAAGTGCTGCTGCATTCAGCAGTAAATCAAACCCAGAACGAAGAACGATTCATGATTTTTGTCCGTGTCGGGCCTCTTTTGTGCTAAAATATCAAATATACTCAAGTCATCATCAAGTCAACAGATTCAACTTAAGTCGCGAGTCTGATTGGTTAACAGCAACACGGCTACCACTGACTGTCTGCTCTGTAACGTTGACGTTTTATCTCCACAAATAACACAAGCCTGGAGGAGTTCTGCTGTGTGGTGGAGTTGCTAATGCTAACAGTTAGCTTCTACTAGCTAGACGTTCTCTGCTGTTTCCTGGACGCTAAACCAACAACAGCCTTCCCCGTCGTGAGTCCAGATGGGTGAGTCCATGAATGTTAGTGACAGTGTGACGTAGATCTGTCAGGCTTTTCTAATCCTAGAGTTTCACCGTCTGTTTTCTATCAGAAGCTACTGCCGGAGGTAGGTGTAGGAGACTATTTTCATGTTCAGCCTGCATGAAAAACTCAGAGTGACTATAAATATAACTTTATAACTGCCCTTCATGACATCGACGCTTCACTCCTGATAAAGCTCTTACTGTGCCGCAACCTCAAACATCACTGCAGGCCGACAGCAAAACACACACAGGTCCTAGCTTACATTCAGAAGGGCCAGAGTGACATCACAGGCGTAGCTTCACAAAGGAGGTGTGTGGTCCGGTTTTGACCCGATGTTTAAACATGACTCGGGGAAACGGAGGAACTAGCAGGCGGTTTCCGTGTGACAGCTCAAAGACAAGCAGCTAGTGTGGAAGCTGGAAAATGATCTACCTCCATCTCCTCCGTTCACCTAACCGCTCGCTTCAACACGTGGTGAACCCATAAATCCTCCCCCGCCACAGGATGAGAGAAGCGAGTGTGCAGGTGTGTAAACGGGCAGATTAAGATGTCCTTACCTGTGAGAAACATCTACGGTACTCCTTCTCAGACCCCGAGCATCTGAACGTCCGGGGAGTTTCTCCTCTGTGCCTCCCGGACTCGACTCCCAGGTGGGACGCGTGCGGGCGCTGTAAGGGGTAGCTGTTTCCTCCGGGTGGGGGTTGAGGGTTGAAGTTCGAGTGGAGTTCCCTGTCCCCATGCACAAGGCTGGGGCGATGAAGAGGAGAGGAGAACAGTGGAGAACCATTAGGGGAGCGTGAGCGTGAGAGGGGAGGTACAGGAGGAGGAGGGGGAGCAGTGACGGAGTTCCAGTCAAATCGATGACGGTTGACGAAGGCAGGAGGTGATGAGGAGCGCTGGAGGGAGTGCTGGGATGGGAGTCTATTTCTCCTGTGCTCCGTGTGAGGTGGTCTTTTCACGTGATGTGGTGGGCTGGTGGTGGTGGTGGAGGTGGTGATGGGTTCCTCCTCAGCTTCACTGATCTTCTGCTCTCCGTTCTCCTCCTCCCGTTCTTCTTCCTCAGCCTTTGTCTCCTCATCTTTCTCCGGGTCGCCTCTGAGCGCATCGTCGGTGCCGTTGGCGGCGTGGCGAGCTTGGCGGTTGGTTCGATGCAGCGGCAGAGAGAAGGGAACCTTGCCGTACCCAAACTGACCTGGACGGATGCTGGAAGACCTGCGAGTCCAAAAAGGAAAGGAGGAAACAGGAAGGCCAGAAGTGATCATCAAGGCCTCTACAACACCTCGGCGACTCATTCACATTCTGAAATCTCCCTCCCAGAAATCACGCCCTCATATTTACGATACGGATCTTTCCTTTGTCTGGGGACAACGCGTCGGTCACCGCGTGTCCCAAACAAGCAATGGTTTCTTCTGCCAACTCTGCAAAAGTCACTTCCTGTTCTGCTTGAGAAACTTTCCATGAAAAGACTAATTTAGGAGTAAAAAATTGCTGACACTCACTATCCGGAAAATGTAGCTGACTTCAAGTTGCCATAGAAACCGATGATTTCTCACAATAACTGATGAATCTAAATGAACTTCTCTGCTTCCTGATGATCAAATGCAGTTACTATATTATATAATTATTTAGCATTTCTGTGTCGGCTCATTCCTGATCTCCAGTTCAAACACATGCAAACACGTTACTCAAGGGTGACAACAGAAACGACGTTTGCGATTCTGAAATCTGACTCGCCTTCTTGCAGGCGAAGCCTCCCGATTGGTGGAGACCGATCTCCTGCTCCCGCCTCCCCCGGCTCTTGCTGCTCCTTGACTGGTTGGCCTCCTGTTGATGTGCGCTGGCTGGTTGTTGTAGCCCTGCGAGGGCGTATAGTAGGGAGATCGGTAAGCAGATGAAGGCTCCTGATTGGCTGGTGATGACTCCGACTGATAAAAAGGAGGCGATTGATTGTTCTGTCCAGAAACGGGGGGCCCTTCTCCTCTGGTGGGCGTGTTCCAATACAAAGGCAATCCTGGGTTATTATTGGTGGAGACTGAAGGAGAGCGATAAGACGGGTGTTGCCCAGGGTAACGGGGAGGGAAGTAAGGGTTCACGGGTGAGAAAGCAGGTCCCCCGCCGCCGCCGGGTGAATAACCCGCCCAGTTTGGTGGAGGGTGGGAGAAGGGAGGGGTCTGGGGAATCGGAGGGGCTAAACACTTCCTGCTCCTCTGTGACACGCCCACTCCGCAGGTTTGAGAGCATTCTGACCACTCCCCCCAGTCAGACCACACCCCCTCTACAGACTCCGCCTCAAACGCCTGCCTGGACTTTCGACTTGCAACCTGAAAGACAAACACATAAAATACAAAATGCATGTTTTCATCAGCTTTTTTTCCCTACAGTAGAGCAGCAAAGACGACATCGGATTCATTAGGATCTGTCCAGCGGGTCAGGAGATCCTTCGCTTGGACGCCAACAACTTTCACAAGATTGGTGATGATTGAAAGCGGCGATTAAAAAAATACATATTTCACGAGCTGCATGAAGCCACATAAACACCAAGCTTCTGGTAAACTAGCCTCAAGTTTGTGTTTATTCAAACATTGTCCGAAAAAGAATCGAGGAATGTCGGGATCCTTCCAGAATCAGGATTTGATTTAGATATATGAATGACGGATTTAAAACCTGCAAATCATTGTGAATAAGATCGCATTCCTGAAGCAAAACCAGCTTCACTCAAAGTGCCCTGTCGCCCAAAGTCTGCTGTAAAATGAGGAAGACTTAAAAACCCTGGCAACTTCTTAAAGAGACACTTCAAAATAAAAAAGGTTTACTGACGTGATCTCCACGGGGATGCACAGTATCCCTCAACACTTCACTGATGAGCTGCAGCCTCCTGAATTTCCTCCCTCATAAGCCAAATTATAAATCCCAAGCTCTTCAAAAACTTCACTTTGGCTTTGGAGAGACGGGATCACCCGGCAGCAGCTTAGGAGCAGCTGGACAGGAGTTCATGTGCTGCAGAGTCACCGCATCAGGACCAAATCAGGCTGATTCGGCGCTGATTTGGTGTTTTTGCATGTGTGTGTGCGCGTGTGTGTGTGTGTGTGTGTGTGTGTGTGTGTGTGTGTGCGTGTGCGCGCGCGCGTGTGTGTGTGTGTGTGTGTGTGTGTGTGTGTGTGTGTGTGCGTGTGTGCGTGTGTGTGTGCGTGTGCGTGTGTGTGTGCGTGTGTGTGTGCGTGTGTGTGTGTGTGTGTGTGTGTGTGTGTGTGTGTGTGTGTGTGTGTGTGTGTGAGAGAGAGAGACTTTAATGTGCTCCTCAGCAGTCGTAGATAAATGTTTCTCCTCTCATTTCATAACGGAGGCGCTGGCCTGGTTGGCAGAGCAGCAAACATGCGAGCTGAACAAAAGTTTCCTTTGAGAACCAACCAAAACATAAATCTGTGCTCCACTTCCCTCCCCCTTTCTTTACAAGCACTTAAATCTGTGCGTGTGCGTGCGTGTGTGTGCGTGCATTGGTAGAAGTATGCATGTAAACACACAAACAGCCTGCGTACAGAAGCAGGAGGACAGGTGTCAGCATGCAGGCCGGTGGGTTTCTTTCCACGCTCCGACTCCGACCACTAAACCAGTTCCTGTCACGGTCTGGGGTAAGTCGGCGGGGGGGTGGGAGGACAGGAAGGAAAAAGGGTGTGAGGGAGGTAAGCTGGTGGAGTTGGAGGGAAGGTGTGCCGTAATGAGTGCCATCAAACACACAGCTGCCACATAACTGGGACCATTAATGAGCTGTGAGCAGTGACCCAGCAGCAGCCACCGCCGACCTCCGGAGCTGCTGGTTCAGACCTGCACCTGACAGGGAGCTGCTGGAAACTCTGAGGGACTGTTGTGCTGTAAACGACAGAGACTCATGACAGGTCTGCTGCTGGTGTGCTGTGGCTTGGTGTTCGATAAGCCCTTAATTACATCTAGAACGATGACAAAAACAGTCCAGGAAAACCGTTTCTGACAGAAATGTCACGAAACAGCTGAGCTTCTCCTTCCTGTGCACCAAAGGCAGATCAGAGGGCACAAGAGGTTTACGGGAGAAGTGGGAGATAAACATTCCTGATGCTTCCGTTAAATGTTTCTCCGGGTTTTCTCCTTGGCCACGTTGCGTTTGAGCCGTTTCTGAAAGTGTCACACCCTCTCTTCTGATGTTCATCGATCCTTCATATCTTTGTGGGTAGATTGTTTATAAGCTTCCATAATTCTGAGACTGTCTCAAGCACAGATGTTGCTGTGCAGGAGCCTGGATCCATTACAACTCCTCTTTGGTTGTGAGGAGTTTGGATCTTTTAACACTCGTGCATCAGGCCGTCACATCTACAGGTATTCAAAGTTGCATGTTGTACATGGGCAGTTCTAAAAGGCGTCCAGGGTGGGCCAGTGCCACCCTGACAGCAAGTGTGGGCCCCCCTGTGCCCCCCCTGCTGATAAGCAATAGCTATGTTTCCATTGTAGGAATTCTGGGATATTTATGGGAGGGGGAAATTGACCGGGAGATACAATGGCTCAGTCCTCTCAGCTGTTGTGTTTCCATGCAACTGCAGCCCTTTCAGGACTTTGCCAAGACGCCAGCATATCGCCGTTGCTTCAGCAGTGAGTGATGTCACTGATCAGCACCCACAGGCGTCAGCTCACATGCATTCGGATGCATTTTTCGGTATTGGAAGTTTAGTAACAGTGATTTGAACTCACTCACTGCCAATGCATGTTTTTACTGAGTGGGCGTCGGACGAGCCCCCACGCCGAGAGAACAAACATCTCAGCTCTGAAGCCGATCTTCATCCGCGTACGTCACACGTCACGTGATCAGGAAGCAGAACATCCACGTGTTAGGAGATCGTTTTGGGCCGTTCCTGTAAAAAAAAAGTGAGGCGCGAACCGGAAAAGCTTCTGCCGATCACAATTCAACAACGGATTATGAAAGAACGGATAATGCTCGAAATGCACGGATTCTTCCTGATGTAAGAGGTGAGTCTCCTCTTTGTTTTGGTTGTTTTGGTAGTTTTGGCGTCGACGTCATCCCAGCGCGCAACGTTCTGTGACTCTTAAAAAAACAGTAAAAACGGTGAGAAACGCTGGCAGCGAATGAGTTAAAACACACTGAACACGGCTTCTTTTCTCTTCCTTCCTTTCCGCTTCAGCAGCATCTCTTCCAGATTTACAAACGCCGGTTATTTTGGTGACTTCTGCTGATGTCATTTCCTTCTGAGTAACAACCAATCAGCACAAGTTCCACTGGGCGACTCTACCCTGCCTTTTCGAGTACCTACCCCAGCTCAGGCACTCTGTTGGTTTCTGAAAATAGCCTGAAAACGGTTCTTTGGGCCGGCCCGGTGAAACGGAGACACGCAAATGCAGCGAAGTTCCAAAACACACCTTTTAATTAGCTTGGATTAGCTCATGGTGAGATGTAGAACCCAAAGTGAAGGAATTTATTCCAGGGTGAAAAGAGATCTTGAAGCAAATACTTACATGTTGTCATGGACTACGTTTACATGCAGCCAATATCCGAGTTATGATCGGGTTAAGGTCGGTATTCGGGTTTCTGAGTTGATCAGAATAACCCGTTTACAAGCATAAATAGAAAGTTACCCTTAACTTGCATAACCCGGTTTAAATGCGGACGTTGGGGTAGCGTCAGGACGTATGGACTACGTCAAGACGCAATATGCGTCATTTCCTGTTCTTCTTGTTCCGGTATCCGTGAAAACAACATGTTTCCCAGTTCGGAAGAGATAGCGACCGCGTTTGTTTGCGCTTTAGTTTCCCCGTCACTCAAAGTGTGGTGCTGTGCCGCGACTCGCCATTTTGCCCCCAACTTGTTGTTTACTTCCGGTGTTCTGGCGCACACAAGACGTCTCGCTACTCAAAAAAACAAGATTCCTTACGAACAGAGCATGCGCAGAACACACGCTTTGATGGGGATACCCCGGTATTAGGGCTGTAGCGAAGCCTCGACGAAGTCGACGGCTCGATTCTAAAAATTTGTCGACGTCAGATCCGGAAGTCGACGCACCGCGCCCACTTGTTGCATCCCCAGGAGTTTGTAAATAGAGGAGGAATCTGCCTGTTTTTCCTCTAGTTCGCCCTCTTCTCCGCCTTCACTAACATCTCCGCCAAATACCGAAGACCCGGAACAACGTCCGTCCACTACTAGATTATTTTCCTGTTTTGCCCCTTCGTCTCCCGGCAACGGACAACAACTTCCGGGGTCAGATGCGCTGCTTCGTGCCTACCGCAGATGTAGAAAATCACCGGGAGCGTTTCTCCCTTCATTAAGGAGCTTCTTTCAGACATGAGGAGAGCTGTTTTGGTGGTAGCAGTCTCTCCTCCGTGCTGGTCTGTTTGCTGCCGGGTGTTTTTGGTTTATTTAAACTTGGTAACTTGAACTTAATGTTGGTAAAGCTACTGTTAGCATCTTCGCTAACAGCTTCTTGCGTTGGGATAAGCTGTTACGTTTTGGTTTAGAGTTCATCTTTTTTGTGGTGTAGATCTCCCTTTTATTACATTTAGAGTGTTGTGGGTTTTCAGTTTAGTGTAAAACATCACCTGAGTTTGGTTTAACCCGTAAGACCACTCGCCTCACGCACATTAGTGACCAAAACAAAGCAGCATGGAGACACTCCATCTTCTACCACCTCTCAGGCAGCAGCCTGCACTCCCAAGTTCTACACGTCACCAGAACATAACCAACCAACACAATAAAAGCAGTGTTATACAAAATGGAAGGCCTGTAGTGTTTATCCTCTTACAGTAAGAATTTATCAATTTTTTTGAGGAATTTATTTGAGATTTTCTGGTTTTTGTTAATTGTGCAATAGAAAAATAATCATTAGATTAATTTTCTAAATAGTCATTAGAATAGTCGACTATTCGATAAAATAATCGTCAGAATAATCGTTTTATAAATAATCGTTTACCCCCAGCCCTTGCGTTTACACGACCAAACATTCGGGTTAGAAAAGGGTTACCCCAGGTGTAGTAACCGGGTTTTTAAAACCCCGGTTATGAGCATATCCGGGTTTCTGGCGGTGTTTACAAGGACCTGCGGAACCGGGTTATTGTGAATATTCGGGTTTTAAAAGGGTTACTGGCTGCATGTAAACGCACTGACTGAGACAAACAACTAAGCAATCAAACTTTTATTTTTTTTATTTTTTTTTTACAAATTAGTAAAGCTGATGCATCTAAAACGGAAATTTAATTACTCACTAAAATTTGAAACTCTTAAAGGCAACGTTGAATGTTTCCTGACAGATGTGCCTCTCTAACAGAACACCGGGCCCCAGCCTGCCCCCCCCCCCCCCCCTTCTGTTAGTCTAGAACCGCCCCTGGAACCTCTTGGACCAAAGCAGGGTTCATGTCCTTCATGGTAATATGAGATATTTAGAAATCCAAATAACATCTGAACTGTAGGATTTTTAGAATACCATTATTGTTTTTAAGGGTAAATGAGTTTTCTTTTCAATCTGATGTCTCCGGATCCTGAAGTAGCCTGGGAAAACGCATCTCCATCATCAAGCCTCGTCCTGCTAATGCTCTGAGTGTGAAAACGTTAAGCCTGTCCTATAATGAGACGCTGATCTCTGTATAAATCAGACGAATCTAAGGACTCACCTTCCTGTTTGCAGCTCTGGCCTCAGAGGTGGCGACCACCACAAAGCTCCACACCACACAGAGTCTAAGAGAGAAGACAGGCTGAAGGAAGTGGCACTAACATGTGATTTAAAAGAAAGCAGCTGTATGAATGAGTTCTTTTATGAAGTACATAATTATTCCATGACTTAAAGCTGCAAATACAGAGAAATCGTGTTAAAGACTCACACAGGCTTCCATTATTCTCCTTCCAAAAACGTTATTGACTATACATTTACTAAAAACAGGGGTTAACGCCTCATCACATGTTCCAGTGACCTATAGGAACCAATTATGCCACTTTGTGTGCCACAGGTGGAGTGGGAGCGAGGGAACAACCGTTTCTTTTCTCCCCCTGAAGGACCGCTGACAAACATCCACATCAGTGTGAGAAATCC